TTTTTTTTAGTGTTAAACTACTCCTCAGTTTTTTTTTTGACACTTTTTCAAAGTTTCCAGTTTGGTGAGTCTACCTGTGCCTTTAGATTCACGGTGCGTACCTTTCTGGCCTGAAGGGGGCGGCTTGTATTGCCAACCAGCTGTTGGGCTGCAATTTCTAAGCGCGAGGATGAGTCATTAATTGACTTTAACTATACCACATTGATTGCTTTTATTGTTATTGTTGCGGTCAATAAGTCTTATAGAAAGAATGGGCAGTTTCATAGTTCAGGTAAAAAGCTGGGCGATTTTAAAGATTACCTGGTGTTATCTATAACGAAAGGTTAAAGCGATCTTGCAGTTTCGCTTGAATTCGGCAATATTCTTTTTTTTAAAATTATATTATGCGCTTCTGTATTTTATTTTCAAAATACCATTAAAATGTCGTGTGATTTAAATCAAAACATAAATAAGTAAATAAACCTATATATATATATATATATATATATATATATATATATATTGATTAGCTTTACGGGTTCTTTTCGCTTGTATTTATTATGATGTGTCCTAACCTCTTTGTCATGGTATTGAACCTTTTTTTCTTGCAGTCCTCATTCTTTTTTTGTTGACCAATTTACCAAAGAAATCAAGCCTCTCGTCGTATTGCATTAGCATAACATCGCTTTTTATAGTACCCTTGGAATTTCGGGTTTTACAAAGTGTTAGAGATTGTGCTTTTATATTAGTTGTTACAGTGTTTGTGATGTGGTGTTTCAAAAGTGCATTTTAAAAGACCAAAAATTAAAAAATCAGTATTAATCTTTTTTCGGGTGTAGCAATCCAGCAGTTGTTTTCCCAATTTAAATGACAAATTTTTGCATAGAAATTTTGTCTCCCATTCTTTCATTCCGAACTGATATCTGTATTCAGGCTGCTCAAGAGTTATTTCTTCTCTTCGGCTATGGAGTATTGTTGTTATGTGGCGAGACTTGTGGTGAAAGCACTGAGCAGAGTCGATTGACGGACAGCATACGTGTTCATAAAATACAGTGAGGAAGGGTCATATCTAAGACTGTGGTGGAATGATGGTTTTTTAGCAGGTTTTTTCAAATAGCGCCCTCTTGGATAAATTAATTAGTAGATTACGTTTAGAGTATTTTGCGAGAAATAAGATTTTTTTATTACAGTTTTAGTTTTTCTGAGTGCGATTTCCTGCGATGTAAAATGGTTTTAAGGTATTGTTTCTTTCCGAATGTGCAGTAATTTTCACCACTTAGAAAATAATTGGAAAATTGAGGGTTTTAGGGTTTTGAAGAGTACTCGAGAAGTTCTTGTTATTACGCTGCACTCGCACTTGAAGGATGTAGAGGACACAACTTCAGGGCAAAAAAGTATTTGTGAATACTGATTTAGAGAAGGCAGCTTAATTTTGCAATTGCCCATTAGGTGAGGCGGTACCTGTGAGAGGTTTTTTCATTATAGAGGACCGTGGAAAGTATGCTTAATTACGTAATTTATTTATTTTTTTAATTTTAGACACTTTAGCATCGTAATTAGGTGTGCTGCAGACTTTACAACTCTGAAGTTCATTGGTATACAGTATTTACGTGGTTTCCGGTGTCATTCCATTTGAAGAATTTCATTCTCTGAGATACTAAATTAGTATTGTCATTAGAGAGCTTCGTCTAAAACTGATTTCGTCTGCCTGGCGACTTTTTTTTCATACCAACTTTAACACAATGAAGTTAATTCAAGCGCTAAATTTATTGGAGTGCAATTGGTAGTCTTATTGACTACCAAACGAAAGAAGGACCGAAAAACAGCTATTTGAGTAACAATTAAAAGCTCCGGATGCAAAGACCGGCCTTTTTTGGACAGTACATCTGAAATTTCCCTAGTAAATTGCTTACTTGTCCGACAGTTTAAAAGATACATCTTTCACCAAAGTCATTTGTAAGGAGTGACTGCATTCATTTTACTGTTTTCTTTGGCCACTAGCTTATTAGATTTTGACTGACCATTTTGGGTCAACCCGCAGTAAATTTGTCTTTGCAATAAAAAACAAATGCAAAGTACCTGTTCCTTTCTTTTTCCTTTTTGATTTCTTTTCGTGGATCCCTGAGGTGTTATTTCTGTCCGTTTTGTTGCGGTCATTATTTGACTATATATTCCAGCACAGAGAGCAGGAGAAACGGTTTTCGATGAAAACAGTTTCTTTTTCCTCTTTCCACTTCAAAGATATTCAATGAACACAATTTATCCATTTGCTTAAGCAAGAAATAAATGGTGGTCAAAAAAATATTATTTTCTTTTGCTTGTTTGATTATTATGTAGAGAAATGTGAAAAAAATTCTTTTCTGCTTTTCGCCTTATGACGCTTTTGAATGGCGAGTAGATTTTTGTACGCGTTAGCAGCTAAATAGTGTTTCACCTGGAGTTAAAAAAGAAGGATCAGCTTTCTGGTGTTACCGCGTTTCTGTTTAATTTTCTACTTTCGCTTACTTTGCTCTGGATTCATTAACACTGGGAAAGAAATTTTCAGAGGTAGAAATTATTTATTTATTGACAGCCATTCCAGTACTGACGATAAGTAGTTGGTCTTATTTATCATAAGTAAAAACTGTTGCTTTTTGGTCAATGTTCCTGTCATCGGGATGGCACAGTATCAATTTTTTACTCCTTTTTTAGTAGTAAAATGAAAAAGAAAGACTTTCGCACTTCTTAACGTGTGAACTGCAACTGTTTTTTGATTGCCATTTGCTGGTAGTAACGTCTATAGGAGTAAGGAAGGGACAAGAGGTTGAACTTGAAGAGGGAGGGGAGGAGAAATGCAGCTGAAGGAGGGGCTGGATATCAAAAGCTACAAAAGTGCTGGATAATTTTGCTGACGGGTTGGAAGTACTCCAGAAGTGAAGAAA